GCTATCTGAAATGGGTGGGAAGGAGTATAATGCAAAAAGAAAAGTGGCAAGACTCATTTGCTGGTTGTTAATGGCAATTTCAAACAAGTAAAGCAGACCAATCAGTGTCACCCGGTACATTTTAGTGACACAATGGCTCAAATCTTATATAACAGGAAGAAACCAGGCACTTGAAAAATGCCAGAGACTAATCTGGTTGAAAATATGCTGCTGACTCCTGAAATAAAGTTCACTTTGGGTGTTGTTGTTTTTTTTTTAGTCCAGTGAATGGTTGAATTTTTTTCCCAGCCATGTTTTTTCTTTGGGATTTTTTTTTTTCCTCAACAGGAAATAGAAAATAAACATCTGACCTTAGCATAGTTAACCTCAAATAAATTAATCTGTGGAATGAAAATCAGACAAATAAATCAGGGTTTGTATATTCTGAAGGGAAATTACAAACTGGAGCTCATGATACAGTATTACTTGCACAAGGAAATGCCTTATAAGGGACTCAAATGTTGAAAAATTAAGAGTATCCTTAACTTTTGAACAAACTGTACACAGTTCAAAGTAAATGACTGAAAAAAAATATAAAACCGCACTTTAGTCATATCCATCTTATGTCTCTGAGTCTTCAGGTTGATCTTGAGGTTAAAGTTTAAGAACAGTAGAGCATACATACATCCGATACACTTATGGAGTGTTGCTGGTTCTAAAAAGCTTTTCCGAATACTGTGGTTTTCAGAGATACCATGGTTATTTTGTATGGCAGGTAACATTTTTCCAGTGCATAAGAATCTTAGTAGCCAAGTGTCCTGAGGATGGAGTTCATTCTACTTGTCCCCGAGCTGGTTCTTGTAAGATCATAGTCAAATGGATTGGCCAAAGTAAAAAGAGAGAAATTATTCTAAATAGAAGCTCTAATTTGTAGCAGTTTATTTATTTGCTGAAGGTGGAATGACTCGTGATTTTTTTGGGAAAATAAATAGATTTACAGGAGCCAACCATCTTAACTGTCTTTACAGGAACCACTCCTTCTGAGATTTTGTTTTTTTTAAATAATTATTATCTACTCAATTTCTTTCCTTAGCTATAACACAGTACAATAATTCTATTTAGAGAATTAGGAGGGTTAAGGTGCCTGGGTGGCTCAGTCAGTTAGATGTCTGTCTTCAGTTCAGGTCATGACCCCAGGGCCCTGGGATAGAGTCCCACATCAGTCTCCTTTCTCGGCAGGGAGCCTGCTGCTCCCTCTGGCTGCTCTGCTTGTGCACTCTCTCTCTCTCTCTCTCTGACAAATAAATAAAATCTTTTAAGAAAGTATTAAGAGTGTTAAATGAGATAATGGAAGAAAAAGTGTGAAGTATCCTTAATATATCCTTTGGACCCATTTTCTTTTGTTCCTGCCCCCAGTGATGATCTATTAATATGTTGTTGATGTTGATTCTCAGAGCTAAGGTAATGGAATGGAGGGGAATAACAATAATATCCTTAACTACATACTTTATCAATTCTGCATAAGGAAATGTTACTAGATAAAAATTAAGAACCCCTTAAATGCTCAAATGGACATGTACTTATCAAGAATACAAATTATCTAATACTTGAAAAAATTATCTTCAGTCCATAGAACTGTATCTCTGTATTTAGATTTCATTTTTATTTTATTCTATTTTGGGGTGGGGGGAGGGAGAGAGAGAATCTTAAGCAGGCTCCACACCCAGTGGGGAGCCCAGTGCAGGGCTCGATCTCATGACCCTGAGATCACCTGAGCAGAAATCAGTAATCTATACTTAAATGACTGAGCCATCCAGACACCCCAAAATTTCATTTTTAAAGAGAAAAAATGAGCTTCCTTATACCCTGGAGCTGCTTGACAATACAACATATTTTTGTATAGTAAATTTTAAAAATTTAAGGCACCAAAATAATAATGATAATAAAGAAATAGCAAGAGAGCCCCCATAAACAACACAAATGTTGAGTAAGAGTGGGAGAAAGAAAATCACATGGCTCTTCACACTCATTTTAAGAAAAAACAGGTCTGAAAATCACCACTCCATTCTAGTTGAGAGAGGCTTTTGTTGAGACTTTTTTAGACAGGGAAAGGAATAATCACTAACAGAACTTTTGTAAAATATACCTATAGAAGTCAAAGTCAAGAAGGGCTTAATTTATTCTGACAAGGGAAGTAGCAACATAAACATCTCTTAAATTGTTCATTTTTCCCATAGAAAAATCCCCTTCTGGAGACCTCAGTATTGACTTGGACCCAAACTAATTCAAACACAAGTTCATTTAAAAAGTAAATGCACTTGTCCTTGCCTAGGTCTTTAGTAAACAAGAGAAGAATATGTGTTTTAAGAGAACATCTACATCTATCTAAAACTGAAAATAAAATGTAGTATGTTTTTTCCTGACCTAGTTATTGAAGAATCCTGTTGATGAAATTCAGCTTTGTTTTATAAATAATGCAGTGCCTGCTTGTGAGTAGCTAAACTGAATTGGATCCCCAGGGAGAGAGGTTATTGCCAGCAGACCCTTACTCTTACTGGGAATACACCATGCCACACAGTTTTCGGGTGGAGGGCCCTGAGTAGCAGTAGATTCAGTAAACCACGCCAGAGGCCAGCAGTCCCCTTCCTTCCTGGGTCGGGATTCTGCGAACATATAGAGCCTCTTCTCTGACTGTGGCTGGCAGACAAGTTTTTGGAGCACAAGTCATTCTCAGGGCCCTTTTCCTCATAGTGCTATGTCTGTTTCTCATTGCTTCCTTTCTCACTGCTTATTTCTGGGATTAAGAGCTTGGTGTGGACTTATATTCAGTTTCTGATTGGAAAAAACAGAGAGAGAGAGAAACATTTTTGGACTCCGTGAAATGTGAAAGCCCATGACTGTTTATTTAAGTGACAGTGGGATCATGAGTGAGTATCAAGTTTGACAAGGTGGGCGGAGAGGCAGTGCTGAGGGCAGTTGCCTGACAGTGTGGATGGGCGCCGCAAGAGGTAGATGAGTCCGTGGTGGAAGATCTTATTGAATTTAGACTTCCCTTTCCCATTCCCATAGGTAGTGCTTTCACTTCAGACATTGATTTCAAGGGCTCCCAAGCCTAGAGAAGTAAGGAAAAGATCAAGTTTTAAGAAGGCAGATGTCCTGAGGAAGCTTCCTATTATAGCTGGTCAACAGGAAATCAAGAATTGCTCTCACTATGTTCATTGGACATCGCTTAAATCTTTGGGAGGTCAGAGAGCTTTGCTCAACATCTCCCCCTGCAAAAAAAAAAAAAAAAACTTTCTTTAGAAAATTTGAGTCCTGACTGTGATATGTTTTCTGTAACCGCTTCCAAAATCATTCTTAGATGCAAACTTCTAGGAGACTTGTAGCTAAGGAGTGCATGAGTGGGTCCAACAGCATTTTTGTCTCTCATCATAACTCTTGACATCCCTTAGTGACATCTCAGAGAGCTAATGACTTGCTTCCCTCACAACTGTGAGGCTGGGGGTGATGGGGCTACCACCAGGGACCGCAGGTTGTCTTTGCCTGAGTGAAGGGGACCTGAGAGAAGCAAACAGCAGTGCCATGTGTTGTCCCAGTGTGTTGTGTTTCCCTTTTCCCAGCTTCCTGTCGTAATCTCTCTCTCCACAAGAGTCTCTACAGCCATTGAGAGTAATTAGGGCTTTCAAGTTTTGGAAGGACATAACATGCCTCTGAATAGATTCTATCCCTTGTCAGTCGTGAGGAGTGTCACCCGGCATGTCTTCCTGAAAATACTAGTTCTGAGGGATGTTCGTGGCGTTCATTGCTGCTCTGAAAGGGAGTAGGGAAGGGAGGATTACACGGTCGAATAAACTTAGGAAACTTTGGATTAAGTAAAGATTAAAAAAAAAAAAAACCATAAGACTTGTCAGTCTTTTAGTAGGACCCCCTTCTGTCCGCAAATATAATTGATCCTAGAAGGTGTGGAACAGAGTGGGAGGAGGCACGCATGTCATTTGGTTGTCAAGAGACTTGACAAGTACACATCCTATTTTTATTTCTTGGGCATTATCTTCACTTTTCTACGTGAAGAACCAGTTCCATGGGCTTATTCAGAGCACTCTGGGTGACAGGGATGGAGTAAACCTCTTAGTCTGCTAAATATTCTGCTCTAAATATAGCAGAAACAACTAAACTGTGTAGCTGTGCAGATTTGGCTTCTTGATGGTTTTGAGTTAAGGAAGTAAATTGATTCTCTTCCTTCCTTAATCAGCATAAATTTGGTTTTCTGATGTATCCCTGATCCTCTTTTACATTTGCTTTTGAGCATTGGAAATGCGATTTTCACTTCATTGTGCATTATTTAATTTTTTTAAAAAAGTGTTTATCAGGATTTTCTTTCTGAGAACTGGATGTGGCCAGTGGGTACCAAATTACACTAGGAGGAGGGAAAGGAGATAAAATGGAAAAAGAGAACCAAGATGGAAAGCCATTTTGGGGATAAAGTTTATTTGTATGGGAAGACATTGTGTATTATTCTTTCTCAATAATGGTGGTCTTATGGATTTTCCAGCCCAAATATGTTCATGAAGATTCCCTCATCCAAGGAGCTGCCCCGCATCTTGTGTACATAGTGGGCACTGTACAAGCAGCTGCTCAGTGGTCCCACCAGCCCAGAAACTCAGAAGCAATGAGGCAATGAGAATTTTCTGTCAAAGCAAATTAAAAGTAATTATAGGCTCCAAAGGGTTAAAATTAATATTTAACCCTGATAGATTTGCATACTGTTTATTTTTGTACCATTTAGGAGTTATTTACTTCGACCACAAAGGGTCAGATATCTGCTTCCATATTTATATGCCTACAGCTGCACACATAGTTGACCATTAAGATTTCACATGGACAAACCATTAAAATAATGGAAGAATCCAGTATTCATTTTGGTTGTCGCATTCCTGAGGTGGGGGAAGAGGGAGAACAAGCGCATCATGCCCAGCTTAGAAGTTTCGAACAATGATGGCTGAATATTTCTAATTTTTCAGGTTGTATCCTCGCCACGCAAGTGCCCTGAACAACCTTGGAACACTGACGAGAGACACAGCAGAGGCAAAGATGTACTATCAGAGGGCTCTCCAGCTAAATCCGCAGCACAACCGGGCTCTTTTCAATCTCGGGAATCTCCTTAAGTAAGTAGAACATGTACTTGTCATCTGGCGGCTCGTATTTTCATTAAATCCTTTCCTTCTTAACACTCATTTGGTTGCGCTCCTGTCCCCTCTTCCCAGAGTGGAATAATTAGGGGTTTCAAGCTTTGAGAAGAGGTCATGTTCATCTGAAATAATTCTATCCCTCCTCAGTCCAAAAGAGCTAACACTTCCAGGGAGACACTCTGGGAGATGTCCATAGGTTGTCTTAGAGGGGTGGAAATAGGGAAGGGTTACATGGTTAGCTAAACTTAGGAAGCGCTGAGTTAGACCAAGAGGACTCCCCCTCTTGCAAGAACTGTTAATATGCTGAATGCCCTGTGAATCATCAAAAAGGCAATATGGAATACGATATTGCCCAAAGTCAGTTTGGGGGGGGCGGCGGTAAGGCATTTCCCAAGTCTTCCATAAATGTACTTTGGGCAAAGCACTCGTCTAGGAAAAGCAGTGTGCTCTAAAGCTGCGGCCAGGTGACAGAAGCACCACTCGTGTTCAGTGTGAACTAGCGGTCAGGAGCAGAACCAGGCCTGCCTCCACTTAGTAATGGCTTTTCACCCACTGCCCTGTGAAAGGTTGATAGTGCAGTTAGTATCACTGAAGACTAAAATGGGGGTGCTTTTGCATCTTGTATTTTCATTAATACAAAGTCTAGGCATCTTGGTGATGGTGTAGTTTTGACAGTAATGAAATGGTGGCAGTTTTGAAATTTAACTTCTCACCTTAAGAAAACAGGTTGAGAACATCAGAACTGGAAATCGGGTGAAAGGTGTTTGGAATGAGAGTGTAGTGATATATTTATCTCTGCTTGTTGGGATGCTGACATTCTCCACACTTACTGGGAGCGCCTGGGTGGCTCAGTTGGTTGAGCATCTGACTCATCGTTTCAGCTCAGGTCATGATCTCAGGGTGGTGAGATTGGGCCCTGCGGTCAGGCTTTGCGCTCAGCATGGAGTCTGCTTGCGATTTCTCCTCTCTCTCTCCCTCTGCCCCTTCTCCCTCGTTGTCTATCTCTCTCTCTCCCCCCCCTAAAATAAATAAGTAAATCTTAAAAAAAAAAAAAAAGTCTCCACACTTATTGAATTGGTTTCTGAGTCTCTGAAGTTCTAGAGCTCTATTCTGGTACTTTTAAAGTGAATGGTTTGCTTTGTTCTCTTTTCCTCTCCCTAAGGGGATTGTCTTCCTTGCCTCAGTAACTCCATATGATACAACTTCCACACCTTCCTGTTTACTCCTTGAATTTGACGTATACAGATAGATTCTGGTTCTTTTTTCTAATATGTGTGTTAACGTGTGTTTTTATGTAATCCCGTTTGGACAGAAGCGCTGGATTGGGTTAATCATAGAACAATCTAATATGGTATGACATGATAGGTGCCATCCTGTAGTTTTCTGTTCAGGAATGGCTTTGTCCAGGTACCGGAGTACAAAATCAAGGAATACTATACAAAAATAAGTAAATGCAGGGAAAGTACAATTCAAATGAAAGGAATAGTATAAATCAGCAAAAACCAAATAAATGTATTTTTTCAAATTAGATAATTTTTTTTACAACTTGATACACATTGAGAATGCTGAAAAACAACTAAGAATGAAGTGGGACACACTGTGACAGAAAAGCCATTTCAGTACTAGTCATCTCCTATTAAAAATAATAACCAATCAAGCGATGTGGGGAAAATGAGTTCTAGTTATTGCAGGTAATAGTTGCAGGTTAATAGGGTGCTTTTATTTTACTCAACTATTTTTATGAGCTCTTACTACTTCTTTATGTGATGTTCCAAGGACTCATTTCTTAAAGTCATTTGTTGGCATCTGTTTATGTCCTACCTTTTTATTTTATTTTTTTTTAAGATTTTATTTGTTTATTTGACAGAGAGAGACACAGTGAGAGAGGGAACACAAGGAGGGAGAGTGGGAGAGGGAGAAGCAGGCCTCCCGCCGAACAGGAAACCTGCTCCGGAGCTTAATCCCAGGACCCCAGGATCAGGTCCTGAGCCTAAGGCAGACTCCCAACAACTGAGCCACCCAAGTGCCGCCTCTATGTCCTACCTTACAGCCCAAATAATTTCATGGCTGGATAAAGTCCTGTCAGTGTTTTGGGGATACCTAGATGACACAGTGCTGATTTTAAAGACCACATCCCCAAAGACGAGCTTTAATGGCAGTTCTTGTTAGGGATGATGTCCTGCAGTGATGATGATCGTATTGTGCTGAATCCAGCTCGACTTAACAAAGGCAGTCAACGGTCCTAAAATCTCATCTTGCCAAGACCTAAACAAGAAAGACACACTCTAACCTTCCTTTTTCAATCACATATTATTGCCATTAACTATCATCATGAGTAAGTACATGTGAGTTACAACGATGAGGAATTATTTTTTGGACCATGGTAATGGCTGTTTTTCACCATAGGAGGGACTCCTGAATACTGAACATAGGATCTTTTGTCTCTTTGTCAGAGGTTTTGTCATAATCAACTCTTGATGATTATCCAGACCAGCAAGAATGCTTTACATTTGCAGAAGACTCTACTTTTCTGAGTGCCTGTTGTTGTTGTTGTTGTTGTTGTTGTTAATGAGGCCCTCCTAGTAACTCTTTAAAGTAGACAGGGAAGAAGAGGAAAGGGGGGTCCTGAAAAGTAGGAATGCCTTGTACAAAGCCACTGTGCTTTGCCTTTTGCTTTTTTGATTCACATCAGAGAGCGGAGTGGCCATATTCGTGGAGATTATTCTTACAATCCAGGGAATAAAATCCTGATAATAGCTAACATTTACACAATACTTTACAGTTTACAGATAACTGTTTTCATATGCATTACTTAATTTAATCTTTAATCTATCTTGAAGGGTCTGATCATCCACATCCCCACTTTACAGAACCAAGGCTCAGAGACCTCATGTGCCGTTGGCCTAGGCTCTGGCAGACCCAGGACTGAACCCCTCCCTCAGACTCCTGTTCTATTCATTTCCTTTACCTGCCCAAATAGCTCTCCAACCCAAAAATTACTTAATATTTAGCTCTTTAATGCCTTTTGGGAGAAAGGCCCATTTGGGGTTTGTTTTGTTTGGTTTTGTTTTTAAGGAAACAATAATGCTTGTTTACATTATGACCCTCGGTAGCGGAGAGAGGTGACCCAGAAAATAGAGCTAATCCACATTTAGTTAAGTCTGAGTTTCATTTCCCATTTCCTTAATATATGTCTGCTCTTAAGTACCAATGGGTCAAAGACCCCCCCCCCCGCCCAAAAAAGGATATTTTAAATTGTGCTTAATCTGATCCATTTTACTGTTTAAGATTTTTACCCTGTTTCTCATTAGGCAGCTAGTTTTTAAAATTGTGCCCCTTTTTTGTAGTCTAGAAGTTAAGAACCTGAGCATCTTTTTAGACACAAGTGTTAGATTTGATCATCCTTGAGAGCAGGGTGCTATCATTATTCCTATTTTATAAATGATGGGACAAAGGCTTGGGGAAGTAATGTGTCAAGATCCCTTAGCCAAGAAAGAGGCCAGGGAATTGAACCTAGACCTGTCTGACCACACTCGACTGCCTCCTTGTGGCTTACCTCAAAACTGGGATACAGTCTGGAGCAGCACCACCCCACAGAAATGTCCTGAGAGCCAGGATCTGTGACTTAAAATTTTCAGGTAGCCCTGACTCGGGACATAAAAATGGTGGAATTTTAATAGTGGATTTTATTAAACCTCAGTTTATCTAAAATATTAGCATTTTAGCATGTGATTAATATTAAAAACTAATTTTAAAACAATGTAAAATTACTACTGAGCTAGTGTGCACTTTTTTTAATAAGTAATCCTTCCTTAAAATCCAGTGTATGTTTTATATTTACAGCTTCTCTCAAACTAGTCCTATTTCAAGTGTTCAGTAGCCACATGTGGTTAGTGGCTGCTGTATTGCACAGCACAGACCTTTATTAATGACCCTGACTTTGAGAGAAATGTAAGACTTTGTCCAGACTGGAAGCTCTAAATAAAATGTGATTCTGTCAGAACATCCCAGATATCTCATAGCACTGAAGACAAATTTCATTTGAATTCTTAGAATTATATGACATACAACTTTGGACCTGTTCATAGCAATAGACTTCAGTGAATGTTATCCAAATATATTTGGCCTCTTCTGTGACCATTTCACTGGACTTTGACACTAATCTATTATGATTCTGTGCGGCATATTTATCATGTGACAGATTGATAAGGAACAGCTTTCCAGGCCAGCATGGAATTAATTTATATTAATTATTGTCAGCTTTGCTTGGAACCTAAAATGTAAAAGAAAATAGGCAAGATTGGCATAAACTTTTTATGGATGCAAAGAGCAGAAGTCCCTGACGGCTCAAGGAAATATAATCGAATATGTAAATTCAGGTCACGGGAAAATATTTTTGTGACTGCTTGGGTAAAATGGTTGCTAGTGTTTGCTACTGAAATAATAAACCTCTTACAGAATTACATCATGCCTCCTTCATTGCCAAAATTCCCTTCTATTCACATGATAGGATATGGACCTTATATGGGTGTTACAATAAATATTATAATGAAAATACAGGAGAAAATGAAGTGGGATGTCCAATAATTGAACTATATAGAAGTTGAATTTCATAAACAAAATACATTCTTTAGTCTGATCCTTTAGAAAATTAAATCCTAAAAAAGAAAAGGACATGGAAAGAAGGGTGACCATTATCTTTGAAATAAATGTTTGGGATGTGGCTCTGGCACTAGCTATCTTACCTCTTAGTTTCTAAAACGGAGGTGATACATTCAAGATATAGTTCTCCTCTTCTCTGCTTTTCAGCTGAAACCTCAGAGAATCCCAAATGCCAGCCCTCTGGGTAAAGAATAGCTTGTTGAGCTCCTTTCCATCACATGAGGATGTCAGCTTTGGGTGGGCAAGTTCTGCACTTTTCTCTTGGAGGGAAATCTCACTCCTTGCCCCCACCCCCTTGGTGACCTGTTGGAATT